CTCTCAAAGCCTCACGCATCATATCATAGTGCTCAGTTCTCGTCTTCGAATCCGTTTCGCTGGAACTCTGAAGGCTGGTGTGCTACAGCTTCAGAGTGTATTGTCGTTGTATCTTTGGGGACATTACGCAAAGACCCGTCAGCACTATACGGGGCGTATTTGTCTTGCGGAAAGATTTCAATCGCCTCGGCTTTCAATCTGTCCGCATTTAAGTTGTATTTTTTTTTATTTTGTTTTAGTTCTACTTGTACGAACTGAACACTTCAGTCAGTTCATAGGTTCCCGTTGTAATTCAAAACACACTTTGTATAACAAAATCAACAATAAATAAATAAATAAATAAAAATGGATAATGGACTGTGGAATGAGACAAATCCAATTAAATACCCTGTTGGAAAAGTCTGTGTCAAGCTTAATTATCCAGCATCATCTGATATTTGTCAAGTCAACTCATTAAAAATTTAAAAGGCAAGAGTGTGTTTCCTCATTATAAACCCAATTGATAAAAATCTAATAAGGTCACAATTGTTATTTGACAAGAAAATGATTGTCTTTTTTCCTCACTACAATCTCCACTTTTCCACCATTGTTGTCGGATAAAATTTTTTGACCTGAATCTTGAGGCATTCAGCCCAAATTAAATGGGGTTGCATAAAACATCACATGGGGCTAATGGGCCTATGCATAAAATTATTTAAAAAATAAGGTTAGCAAAATATTTTTTTTATTGGGACATGGGACTGGAGCCTACCCTTGCCCTAGGGTGGCTCCTCCCCTGTCCAGAACGTCCTTCTAACACTTTGTATGTATTTAAGTCGTGTTTTAACAGATGCAAAATGCGATCTATTTGGTGTGGAGTGGGTCAAATTGGCTCGTTAGGAACTATTTCTACTTATCACTTCGAGTAAGGTGGTTTCTTGTCATAAGAAGGGCAACTTACATTTTTGGTCCTGTTGCTTTGGCCTCGTGGCAATTTTAGTCCTGGGATCGGAGTATTTTCTTATTTAGTCCCGTAATATCCAAAGTCAACGCGATTTTAGTCCTTCCGGCGTCCAATAGTTAAAATTGTGGTCGGTTTTGTCACGTGGCCCGCACATGATGCCCTCGTGGCCGATTTTCTCTGACTTGGCATGCCAAAACGTCGATTTCCTCTGACGCTGCCGATTTCCTCTGACGTGTCAAATAAAATAATTAAAAAATTGCCAAAAAAACCACAAAAAACCACGTAATCGCATATAATTGGAGGAAAAATTAACATTGAAGATGAATCGTTAAATGAGATCAAAACCCTAATCTTCACAATTTTTATCGAGTTTTTCGAACACTAAAACTCCCTACGCAATAAAAGAGAGAAGGTCGATTCAAGAGAGAGAAGGTCGATTTCAAAGACATGAGAGCGATTCTAGAGAGAGGATTCCACAGTGCGATGCGATGAAATGAAGGTCGATTGAGAAAGTAGCTTGAACGAACGTGAAGATGGTGAAGTCAATACGGGTTAGGTCAAAGGATTATTGGGACGCAGACATCCCTGTCTACGGTGAGTTTATTTCAATTTCGCCATTTTCATTTCTACCCTATATTCTTTGTTTATGTTTTTTTTTTTT